GGATTTCAAATCTTTCAACGGTAACAGAAAGATCTAGGGTGGAACTTTTGGACAAAATAAAACATTTTGCACAGAGCCTGTCACAAATTTTCGTCCAATATTGTTGTTAGTTGCTGCAAGCAAAAGTGAAATCACTCGTTCAGGTCGAGATTGATCGGATTTCGGATTGGTGTGATGCGGAATATACCCACGGTGTTATCCCCTTAATTTGCTACAGCCAAATCAGTTCTATTATCACCATTGAAATCACCTCTTGTCAGAGAATATGGAGAATTCCCAGTGCCATTAGCGGACTGACTCTGAAATGTTCCGTTGCCACTACCGAGGAATATGCTGACGGTGTCGGAACCCTTATTTGCCACTGGTAAATCAGTTCTGTTATCATCACTGAAATCCCCTGTTGTCACAGAATTTGGATCATTCCCAGTTCCATATGTTACTTGACCCTGAAATGTTCCGTTGCCGTTACCAAGCAATATGCTGACGGTGTCGGAACCCTTATTTGCCACAGCCAAATCAGTTCGATCATCACCATCGAAATCATCTGCTGTCACAGAAATTGGGGACTTCCCCGTTGCATGTGTGACTTGACTCTGAAATGTTCTGTCGCCGTTGCCAATCAGTATATTGATGGTGCTATCAGCGAAATTTGAGATAGCCAAATCAGTTCGATTATCACCATTGAAATCCCCGGTTGTCACAGAATATGGAGCATTCCCAGTTCCATATGTCACCTGACCATGAAATGTTCCGTTGCCGTAACCGAGGAGTATACTGACGGTGTTATCAGCAGAATTTATGACAGCTAAATACACTAAGGCTATCAGTAACCTACGACCGATGCTTATAACTCGTCAGAATAGTATTGTCTAGAGCTGCGAAACGCTTCGTTAGAAAGCAAACACGCTTTGCTATAGTCAAGCGTGCGCTCAGAAAAAATGCTTTTTTTTAATGTAGATATAGTACAAAGAATTAGTGAATATGAGGATTTCAAATCTTTCAACGGTAACAGAAAGATCTAGGGTGGAACTTTTGGACAAAATAAAACATTTTGCACAGAGCCTGTCACAAATTTTCGTCCAATATTGTTGTTAGTTGCTGCAAGCAAAAGTTTGTCGAAAAGGTCGTCCATAGCAAGTTCTGAATCATCTGCTTTCAAACAGGCTTCTGTTGGAGAACCAATTTGATTTCGACCCCACACTTCATCAACAGATGCTTTACTTTGTGTTACAAATCGGCTTTATGAGAGTGCAAACAGCGATCCTATTAAGGATAGTATTGGTGTGAGTTTCGATCTGGCTAAAGCATTTGACCGAATATTCCATAGGATGCTCCTCAGTAAGCTTAAATCTATTGGCATTCAGGACCTGAGCTGGTTTGCTTCCTACTTAGGAATCGTTTTCAACAAGTAAAAATAGAAGGGTAAATATCTAGTCCAAGTCAAATAACATCGAGCGTACCCCAAGGATCTATGTTAGATGCTCTCTTATTTTTTATTTTTATTAACGATTTGCTTCACCAAGCAACATCAACTGTCTTATACAGTTTGTTTGCTGATGACCTTTTCTTAGTCTATTCCTTCGCAAGACACGAAGATCCACTGATGGTTAAATCACTCGATCAGGCCGAGATTGATCGGATTTCGGATTGGTGTGATGCGAATTTCATGTCCTAGAACTCTGAAAAGTGTCGCTGGACATATTTTTCTATATCGTACGATCCTCCAGCTGTTCTAATTTCAGCGTAAGTGGTACTCCGTTGGACTACGAGGATTCCCCTAAGCTTTTGGGGCCTATCTCTCTTAAGATCGACATTGGAAAACACATGTTTCGAACACTGAAACAGCCTGTAGATGAATGCTTGGAGCTATTAATCATACATTCCGTGATGCTCCAAGTTCCATTGGATTGAATCTGTATAAAACTTGTGTCCTTCCGAAACTAGGCTATTGTTTAGTGGTATATGATAACATATATACCACTTATTGTTCACCTGTTGAACCCGGGCAAAAGTTAGTGGCTCGTATTATAACAAAAAAACACGACTATATCGTTAATAATGACCTGGTTAGAAATCGATGTCTTTCGGATTTGAAAAGTTGACGACTCTATTTCCGCCTAGTAAACATCGAATTGTTAGTCGCCATTCGATTTTAGATCCTAATGAGTTAATTCTTCCTAGGCTAGCAAGGTTTTTTGTGCGGTTTAATCACTCTTCCCCTGTGGACGTTCCGTTCTCAAGGACTAAAACAATCCAGTCGTCTTTTTTTATAGGACACAAAACGACTGGAACCGATTGCCTCGAAATATTATGTATATGCTCACTATTAAGGCTTTCAAAGAAAATTCGAAAATACACCTCAATTTTTTGTAAGCTTTTATTGCCTATTCTACTCTCAAATAACTCTATTTGGTTTATTTCTGGCACCTGTTCATTCTTTTATAAACCCTCATGTTTTTGAGCTTGTACCTGACAAGAAGTTTGTCTAAATAAAATGAAATGAATGTATCACAAGGTCAAATTCTTTTTGCTTGAAGCCGCTCTCACTTGATTTCCCATAAAAAATCACGTATACATTTTTTTAGCCTCTGACAACATTTAGTAGTAAGGGGAATAATATAAGCTTTTTTTCATATGCATTTTATTTTTTTTTTTGTCGTTTATACTTAGACAGGTGTAGTTAAATAGTGAATTCACTTTGCCAGTTATGTTATTTTTGACCTAAATGGCTCTGTTAACGTGAGAATAAAAACATGTGTCGTGAATGATTATGTATTGAATTTTACATACTTATGCAAATAAATATAGTTTTAATTTTATTCAAGAATATAGTTGAATAAATATCTTATCTCATATCTTTGCTTATAATATTTTGTTTGACAACCATGCAAGTTGTAACCCATAAATCACCTTCTTCCCACTCTCTTTGTCGGTTAGCTTGAGAGATTCTTAATGGTATTACTTTTCTTTGATCAGTTCACAATTATCATAGTACATGACGAGACCGAAAACCAACATATCTAAAAAGCCTTTCAGAGTCATAGACCGTGACAGACATGTCGAAAAATCCTGTAGGCCATCACAGACCGTGACAGACATGGCGAGATGCCATTTTTGGATTTTTGAACCACGGAATTTATATTTAAAAACATTTCCTAGGCTGTAAGACTAGGGTCTAGAATCGATAAATAATACATTTTTGTCTGTGCCTGTCTGTCTGAAACACGATTTTAAAACCATTGTCTGCCTCGAAGTAAAGAATACATTTTTTTCGATTTTAATTTTTTATCCATCAATGTACCTTGTTAATGAGTGTCGGAGTATATAATGAAAAAAGGGAACCCCAACCTTGCCTCACAGATCGTGACAGACATGTCGACATGCTGCTGTTTAACCTTTGCCAAGAAGCGTGATCGAGATGGCGAAGGTTCTCGTTTTCACAAGGGAAAAGTGGACTTTGGGACTATCTAAGATTTTTTGGTCTTTTTGACTGCTGGTCCTCTGAATTCTTGGCTGTTTGGACTGGTGGATTCTCTCTTGGATTTAATTAAATTTAATTTTTTCGACTTTTGGATGTTTTAGTGCATTAAGAAAAATCTGGACTTAGATTTTAAATTGATTTTTAATTTTGAATGGATTTTAAATCCCCAAAATAGACTTTCTTCCTTGTATCCCCGCCTAATGTGACATCATCGTGTTTCACACATTAATTCCGTTAGAGTTTGCGCTAAAAGCGTTTTACTTCTTTGCAGAATGTATCTTGTCTCATTGCGGGTTTCTTTGATGACTTCATGACGGTTGAAATTAACTGAGCTGTTTGATGACAACACTTAACAACACTTCATGCTTGTGACTGCACGTATCCATAAGAAAAATCATCGTGGGCTGCTTTCAAACATATCTCAATGGCAACTTAATCACACTCGAACTTTTACCTTTTTCACAGCCTCTTTTGAAATCACGATGTTCCAGAAAATACATGACAGATGAAATTGTCAGATATCCTATTTTGTAGCCTACAGCGAGTTCTTTCATGTGGACTTTTCATCTCTTACAAAAAAATAAGCAGTAATTTGCGAAACACAATACTCATCAACGAATAGGGTAAGGTAGGCAAAACATATCGTGTTCTCTCTCATATCGAGATTACAATTTGGGCAGCTAAGATATATATATTCTTGATCAGCGTAAAACTCTCTACAAGATAGGCTAGGTTCCGCCTCTTTTCTAGGGGGAACACTCAAATATGTTCCCTCGTTAGAGTTAATATATTGAGCCAAATTTTTCAGCTTATATACAAAAGTGTATCGACTTTCGACACAGATAGAAATCACTGCTAAAGGATGGGGGCGTATAAGGCCACCAATCGGCCCACAGTACTCTTTGAGTCAAGCCTCTAAGTGTGATACATAGAATGAAAGAGCGCGGTGAGATGAACATTTTTTGTGACAGAACTTGATACTTTAAATGTATGACTATAAAGAGTAATACTTTGGTCAACTTCTGTTTTGGGGATCATTATTAGCCCTAATGACCATTCTCACTTTGATACCCTTCTTGGCTAAAGACAGAACGAAAATAACAAATTATTTACCGTAATCAAAAGGCCACATTGTCCTCTAATACTGCTAGAAATATCATGTTTTTGGCTTCAGCCGTTCGAGCGTTATGGAGTCCGAAAAAGTCCAAAAATGATCCCGAGATCACAACCGGCCTACACTACAGTCCAGAAGTCGGCCAGTCGGCCTACACTACGAAGCCCACGTAAAGACCACAAATCGGCCCACTAACGTTTTTTTGACTTCCGGTCTTAGAATACACATAGATCAATTGATCTCGTCACGGTGAGTATTTTGGTGCTATTTTTGGTGCATTTCGATGTCATACCATCGGACTTCTTGCTTCCACTATAAACAGCACTTTCGATATTTATGGACTGCTCGGGACATAGGTATTCCAGTATACTCTACCCGAATATGAAATCAGATTTCCACAATTCGACTGGCAAGTTCGAGAAAACACATATACTTTAAAACTGCCCGATTTTTGCCTGCTCAAAATTATAAGAGCAAAATCGTATTTTTGTCATTTTCGTACCAGAGCGATATGACGTTGGCTTGAATTACATAGATAGATAGAGGAGCTGATTCTAAACATTTGCATAGAGCAGAACGACGAAACACAGCAGCAAACTATTTATTCTTGTTTCTCGCGAAGTCGGACGAGAAAGATATAGATATAAACGTCCGTTCCAGCAACAAAGAAAAAGAGGGTGTTTCTACCCACTCAACAACGGTACGCATCAAGCGAAAATGTCCTCAAAGTTTTAGATTAATGTTTTTCAGTCGCGATATAATGTGCTTATTAGCAGATTTATTGAACAAAGACGAATCGCATGCGAAACGAACAGTGTCATTCATTCGAGAATGATTGAGAATATGTGTATCGATTAAAGCTACGAGATTCTGAAAAACTGAAAAAATACTCTAAAAGACTGATATAGAGCGATTTTCACGATGATTACAACGCGTGTAACTTTTGAAGGAAACAAGATGGAAATGTGGCGCTTGCGTAGGTTTGCAGCACGTGAGCAGGTGGATCTAGTGCACTCCTTACAATTAAAATATGATGCGACTACCATAGAGCTTTCAGTGTTTTTTCGAAGAACACTGACTAACCATTCGATTATGAACTGAAATTATTGAATATTATATGGAACTATGCATTAACACAGCGGCTTTCCAACAGCGAAAACCGCAGCTCTATATCTTATTTTCATAAAAAGTTATTCAAAACATATCCACTCGTGTTCTTTTTTGAAATGGATCATAGTAGACAACGATATCTTCTAAAATGCTTTGATTTTTCTATGTAACTAGAATAAATGTTAACAAAATTGAAGTGATATTCCAATAAAACCTTTTATTTTATTATAGTTTGATGTAATAGAAGAAAAAGAAGAAATTTAATCAATATAAATGGGAAACCTTTGTGGTGGAATAAGATCGAAACCTTCACCATATAAAATTGGAATAAGAAGTGTTTTAGGTGCATTTTTAATACGAGTTATTGTTAATATTTGTTTTTCTTGAAAATTATTAATATTAAAAGTAAATTCTTTTGGTGATAATGTAAAACAATCAATACATTCAGTTGTATTCCATTGAACACGAACAGTTCCATTTCCATCAATTCGATGTGGTGGAGTAGAAAGGGAAACATGAAATTCTGCACTTTGATGTAATCTCACTGTTGCAAATTCTGGATAATATGAAAGTCCGAGATCAAGATCTTCACAAGCTGTAGACCAATTCTTGGGAATTGAATTAAAATATTTCTCATCTGGTTTTCCCATTGAAATTATCTTATAATTTGTTGTTGTTTGTATAAATCTAAATCCTCGATAAACAACTTGAGTTAATTGTAGAGGAATTTCTGTATTTTTTTTAAAATAAATTTCTTGACATGGAGGTTTGCTTCCATCCTGAATTTCACATTTTTCATTTGCATACCAATAATCTTCATCTGGAGAAGAATTGTTTGAATAGATCATTGTATAAGTAAAATTAAGATAGTTTTTTATTTCAAATGAATTTCCATTAAGCCAATGTGACGGAAATACATTAAAATAATTTCCACCATATTTCCAATATGTTGTATACACACAAGATTCGAGTGATGAATAACCTAATAATAACTGAACATAATATTTTGATTGAGGAGAATCGGGAGTTGCGTATGGAAAATGTTGCAAAGCATAAGATATTTGTGGTACTGGAGAAAAACTATAAGTAACTGATTGATAAGCACGTTGATTTATTTCATCAATTGCAATTATTGTTTGATCATTATCAATAGAAAAAACAATTTGAAGAGGAAAATATGGTTGTGCACATTCTCCCAAATAATAAAATAAGATAAATGATATTAAATACAATAAGATTTTCATCATTTCAAATTGGTACAATATTTTTGTCGGTTTATCAGATATATTTAGGTTGTTTTATGCTACACAATAAATAAATCGTCATCAAATGATGAATTGACAAAAAAACAGCATTGTAATATATTTTCACTTTATATTTGCTTAAGCTTTTCTCTGCACTTCGTCGCTGTGAATCTGATATCGCCCTTGTTCTATTTTTGTTTTATCCAACAAAACGAGCTTTTTTCTTCTTTTCAATAAATGTCTTTGATTTTGCTTATATAGTCATGAAAGAGTAAATAGAGATTCTAACATTAACTTTAAACAAATTTCAAGAATTAGAGTTCTGCAGCCTGATTGAGTATTTCGACTCCTTGTACATCCAGCTCAGAGCCTTGTCTGGATGCCGACTCATCGGGTCCTACATGAGTTGAAGTATTCTTTTGATACACGCGACAATGTCAAAAAATACTATATAAAGAGGGAATACCCAACACATAAGAACGGACCAAATTTCTAAATTTTCTTGATTTAGAAACTTTCAAGTATTTTAAACTCTAAAGACAACGAAGCAAAAGTGAGGATGTTTTTGAATACTTTGAAGTGCGGTCATGGAGTTCATAGCTCGTTCAAATCAAAAACAGCATTGATAAATGTAAGAATTCATCGGCTTCGTTATACGACGTTTTTCAGGAACTCCAAAAACTACAGATTCAATTAGCTGAATTTTTTCGAAAGTCTCAAAAAGGAGAAAGTGGACACAAGTCTCAAATGTTATTACAGCATTTGTTCACTTATAATACTGGTTTATTGCATCATTTACTTGACTTTTTTTCTTCATCATATGAAAAACACCAGGAAGTAGTAGAGTACCGAAAATTAATCCGGCCAATGTACCACCAGCGATAGCAAGTGCTTGTGATCGACCGGAATAGTTGATTTGTTCATATATTTCTTCGCATTCTATGATCGTTGTCATATTATTAATTAATTCAATTTGACTGGCAGTCACATTCGAATAAAATGGATAAAAATGGTCGACATTTTCAAGTGAATAAGGTATAGCTTCGATAGAATATCCATCATCGGTTATAAATTAAAATTTATCATCATTAATACCATGGTCTAATTTCATATGAGCATCGACTAGCCAAAATTCGGACATTTCATCAACATACGGTGTCCGATCGAGAAGAGTAAAAATACAATAAAATATATCGTTATGATCTAACTCTTGCGAATGATGCTCGAGCTCGACTTGTGAGATACGTAAATATTTAATTTTCATTAGAAGAATAATTTGTTTACGAATTTGCTCGACAAGACGAACCATGAAAAGAAAACGAATATTATCTCAAACCTATTTTTCAAAAAGTAACCTACTGACAACAACATTTTCGATATTGTCTAATGTTGTTTCATTGTTAAATTTAAGTTGAAATGCTAAATGAGTACATAGGAGTTGAGTTGATCTATAACATAGATGTTCATCGAATTCATTGAAATATACATCAGTACGATAGTCATAAAAGTTATAGGAAACATAAGCTGGTATTCCACCTCCTCTTCTGTATAATTTAAAATACATTTCGACGCGATAATCGAGACGAAATTTATTATCGTCATTGTCATACAAGCTACTATTGTTTTGTCGTTGTGCCCAGGAATATTCAACATTGGTTGCCAACCAATCTTCAGTTATTGTCCGTTTAAAGAAAGAATGACCCATTGCCATTTCGTGAATAATTTTTGATTGGTGAGCGCTAGAGAGCTGGGGTTTGCAGATATGGAAAGAGGAGACCATAGAACATCTTTTCACCAGAGGAAATACGTTTAGAAAATTCTTCGAAAACCGGTTTTTCAAGGGGTTTTTGGAAAACTCATGCATAACAGAAGGATTTAAAATACAAGCCTATTAATTTTTTTACGTCAGAAGACAGAGAAAAGTGTTCTCTTTAAAATCAGATCCAAGTAATTGCGTGAAAATTTTTGCTTTGGCCGGGAGAGAGATTTTCCCGCGTGCCCCAACTTCGGCCAGTTGACCTTGGATCACGCTAAAACAATCGGATCCTCCTAAATAAAAAACGAGAGCCAGTCAACGCAACTCTAAGAGTAAGTCAAGCAGGCTTGAGGAGAGGAAGGAGCTGTATCGACCAGATACACGTCATTCGCAGGCTTCTCAAAAGAGCAACCGACAAACAATTGCCACTCTTCGTCACATTTGTTGATTTCAAGAAAGCGTCGACTCAGTCAACAGAAAGGTGATGTTCGACATACTAAGACACTATATAAGCGTAGTTTGTCGTCTTAGCATTGATGAGTTGGAGCGTAATTGGCACCCAGCGACCATCACGCTGAATTATTAGATCACCGACATCTTTCACACGAAAATGTGTCAGAAGAGAAAAGAGCACTTCTTGTTCCTCTGGCATTTCTGATAATGAGGAAATATTTGCAAACGTTTGTGTATCATCCCATGCATCACTTTCTTCTATCTTGTACTCGTCGGTTATAATAATCTCAAATAAACAAGGGATACGATCGTCTGAAGAAGGTATAAAATTCATTGCAATTTCAGGGTCGAGTGATGCAGAAGTAAATGTCGTCAACTTAATAACGGAATTTGTCGATTTACAAACGGGACGAAGGTATTGAACTTCGTCGTCGCTCAAGTATTGTCTTCGATATACGGCACGTATGGGATATATTTTGGAATTATAATACTCTCGATAATTTTCAAGTAATTGAGAATGTAGATCCGTGAGAAATCGGCTAAATTTCTTGATAAGTGTCATATTTTGTGTGCGTAAAGCCTGATCGGTAATGCGATAAAGAAAAGTGTTTCGTGTATATTCATGAATTGTATTACCCAGGTCGCTAAGTACGGACCGATTCTGGCACGAGTTGTACCTTTGCGCGAATTCGTCAATCTCTCTTACACCACTCTCCTGTTCGACGTCGTTTGCATATTTTATAACTAATGCATTTTATTTATAGGATATTTTCATAGTGTAGCAGCAACTGGTGTTAATCAATATTTGAATAATGAAATTAATTCGCGTTTCTTTCCTGGCTCACTCGGTGGTTCTGCACTGGTGGTTCTCACAGTTTTTTTTCGAATTAAAAGAAGCTTTAGTTTCTCTTTTCTTCGAAGCATTATCATGAAGCATCAGTCTATTCCATTTCATTCGACTTGAGAGAGCACGGAGAGGAAACAACATTTTTCCACTGTTAGAATGATCATAACCAAAACTCAATGTAAAGTACTGTGTCGTAAAATCTTCGTACAGTTTATACTATTCGAAAGAATAGGCATATTTATATCTAAAACCAGCGAAAGCAGAAGAACCACGGCCTGGCCAGCTAACTCTACCTGCGTACGTAATTCTGTGACGTTTTTCTATGATTTTGTTTTATTTGCAGAAATTTTTGAAAAAGTCAGAACTCAAAAGTAAATAAACCATTTTGTAGACAATT